TAAAGCAGAAAGAAAATATTCATGAATATGTTCCAGTTCTGTAGTTTAATGGGACAAATTTAAAAAAAAAAAAAAAAAAAAAAAAAAAGAAAGAAGAAAGAGAAGGAGAGAAACTGATAAAATGATTTAGTTCATGGAAGGATTGAAAACCCTCACAAAAAAAAAAAAAAAAAAAAAAGCTGAAATTACATATCGTGCCTCATCTATTCTTGCGTAAGCCATTGAAATTGCTGGGGACTTAATTGGACTAATCGTCCATTGCAGTTATGCATGAGCCTTAGGGAGCACATGGCGTGCATGTGGGCCAATGCACCAGCCTATGAAAGAAAGAAATTATCCCACAGCATTAAAAAAAAAAAAAAGAGTAGGTGCCTAGGTATGAAAAGCCAAGAGGCTTGACTTGCATTTAAAAAGTATTAAGGGTAAGTGAGGAATTTCATTTGATTTATTCACCAAGTGAACTTTAAGAGGTGTGAAAAAAGGATACAGGTGACTTCAGGCAGGAGAAAACTTTCAATGGAAAACGAAAAATCTATAGAGGACATTAACATGAACTCATTCCCCTCATGCTCCCATTGTTTTTGTTCCTCTGCACCTCCCTGTTTGCTGTGAGGTTACTGACGGACTATGTTACTGCAAGCGGGTTCAGGCCTCAAAATTCCACCTGGTCAGAGCAAAAATCGTATTGCATGCTGCATATTGAATCAAACTGCAGATAGTGGAGTAAATGGGAGTTTAAGGCCTGTCTGATGCTATCAGTATTCTTCAGACATTTACTTTGCTGCCTTCCACTATTCAGAACACCCTGAAATCACCAACACATTTGCTGAATTGAGGTTTAAAAGCAACTCAGAAACAGAAGCAAATCATAGTTCTTAGCGCTGCTGAAGGTTGGAAGAATACTATTACCATGGGGGTGCTTTGTGCATGTGTCTAAGGGCCTCCACAATGACCCGTCATGTGTAAATGTGTCCTAGTTTTTTGTTTTCACAAAGATAGTTTGATAGGAATTAAACCTAACTCTTGGGAGAAAAAAATGAGTACAGCATACCAGAATACCCATCTTCCTAATTCTTACCATGCTGCAAACTGCAATCCCAGACCTGCCCATATATTATGAAGCTTTCTCCAAGGAGACGATTTTATGATTTTGTGTCCATAAGCATAGTAATCTCTCTGTATATTGAGACAGTGCAGAGGATACCAAACCCTTCCTGTGAGATCTTTTCCCTTTGTACCGCTGACGTCTCTTCAACCCTGGTGAACATCTCTGTTCTTGTCTTTCCTTACGTCCCCTATGTCCTGCACCAAACAAACCATAGGTGATCATGCTACTGTGATGTGGAGCTGACCACACTGCGGAGGCTGTCAGCATTTCACTCGTGCCATTCCCATCCCCTCTTCCCAGAACTAGCTCCCCACTTGGCGTGCTGCTCTCTGCTCCTCCCGGTGCCCAGCCCTGCTCAAGGTGTGGGAGCCCCTCTGCTGCGTGCCGAGCGCCTGGAGTTAAAGATGTGAGGCTTTGGCTGTGTTCTTTAAAGTGCCAGCTTGGCCTTACTAACACATTTCCAGTGTTTGGGATTAGCAGAGCTTGTAAGAACATAACAGACCCGTCAGGTCTACAAGTCCACTTGCCACTTCCACCCGCTTACATGTATTTTTAAATAGCTAATTAGGAGATAATGCCAGTGGAACCAAATACTGACACAAGATAATGATCTCACACTACTACAGAAATGTTAAGTGGGAATGTTTATTTTCAAAGGGAAGAAACGCTGATCATGTGCCTAATCCTATAATTCTTAAACAAGTAAAATTCCTGTAGATTTCAGCAGAGCCTGAGGTGACAACATCCTATTACTGTGGTAGTATTTCTGGATACCAAACAGCCGTAAGTGATGCAGTCATTTTCTCTAAATGATACTAGTGCAGTATTGGAACAGATGTTTCCCTTACCTTTATTAGCCTGTTGTATCTTCTAACTTGGAGGACAAATTCTGTGTGTGCTTTATTGCACCAGTGTAGATGATTTTTTTAAAATGTGCTTTAGGAAGCAGTGAGCTGTGGTTTGGATGAAGTTATGCCTGTTTTGAACTTACTGACAGCTCGTAATGGTGATGCGCAAGTCGGTGTTGCCTCTGCAGTCTCCCTTTGGTACCCTAAGGATCAGCTCAGTTTAAATCAAAGATAGTCTTTCCTCTGTCCTGCAAGAGGCTCAGAAACAAATAGCTGTCTTAAATTCACCTTTCAGGAATAAAGAGGGGGAAGGAGTACACATGGGCAATGGGTACAAGTTCATCAGCTGCTCCAGTGTAAATACCCCTGTGCTACTTTTCCTCATTTACAGATGGGAGGCAACTGGGGGCAACCTTACCCCTCGCTCAGGCTCATCCAGGTGTCTGTATTCCTGCCAGCAGTGTTGGTGGGGGCTGCGCAGTGCAAATCCTGCCCTGGGTCACTTCTCACTCCGCCAGGAGACAGTGCTAATGGGATGGGTACATCCGCCTTCACTGCCTCCCCCCAGGAAGCCTTTTTCTCTGGACTCACTTTAGATGCAGCGTTGTCTTACAGACAGGTGAACACTGCAGTGGAAATTGGAGGCAGATGCTGAGTTGCTTTCAGAGAAAAGCCTGTCAATGGAGGCAGGAAGGCTTTTCCTAGACAGAATCAACTTGCACAAATTGTTAGTGCTGCACCACAGACGGTGTCCGGTGGTTTTTAGAAATTACTGCTGCTTTCACAATTAATGAAGATTCATCATTCCATTAGATCATCTCTAACCTGCTGTAATTGTTCTGATTTTTATTTTTTACCTTGTTCTCCAGTTCATGTCTAAATACAAGAAGATGTTTATATTGCATACATTCAGCTTTAATTGGCCCTTAAAAGAAGGTGTTGATTAGAATCTTCTCAACATCAACAGCTCGCTCGCACAACATTCTCTAATTACTGTTTATTAATTTAGTTCAAGTGGCATAGTTGAAAGCCCTGCTCAGATGGGAGAAGTAAATTGTCACTGGTATTGAATATGTAAATTATGTGCTGGGTAAGTTTCCATGAAGAATGTTTAAAGTTAAATGCTACGCACATAAAGCCTTCTAGTTTCATCTAACCCAACCATATGACAGCTTTGCAAGAAGTGTCATGAAAATTTACCAGCCCTGGCAAAAAACTACTTGCCTATCCATTACTTTTTTTCTATTAACATAATCATGATGATAATAATAATTTATTTGCTAGTCAAAGAAATAAATAAAAATCATCCACACCGGCTGGGTGGAGGTTTGCAAGGCTGCCAATTGAATCTGAACTGCGCGTTGCTGTAGTACAGACATTCAGCAGCCTGGATTTGTTGCCCTGGTGCAGTAACCCTTCCTTCTCTTTAATTAGCTTATGAAGTCAGAATTTCTTAAACAAAGTACTCATTAAACATTGCCTTGTTACATTACTTTAAAATGCAATTAAAAGTTTTAAGAGTGCCGCAGAGTTTGTGTACCATTGTCAGTGCCCATGTCACTCGCTATCAATTGCCACCCACTCACATAGATTGGAGGCCTCCCGTTAGATATAGATGGCACTCTGTAGGCTTTGTCTATAGGCTAGGCATAAAACTGTACTGATGAGGATGACCTGACTGCATCTTATACCTGAAGGAATAAGAGGAACAGAGGGGAGGCTGTTCTCAAGGAAGGGGGACCCAGGAATCTTCATTGTTCTTCCACCTCTGCATTTGTCTCTCCCTGACCTTTTGTGGGGGAGTAGCTGCACGTTCTTGGGAGGTGTGCTGCTTCTGAGTCTCCCAAAGAAAGTTGCATGGAAACACCATGCAGTTATTGTATTGCACATCCAAAACAATGAGACCAGGCATCATGCTAAAAGGGAAAGAAAACTGCCCGGTGCCTGCATTCTGCCTGGGCCTTCACCCAGTCCTCACACTCTTGCTGGCTGCTGTTATCATGAATGGCACTAATCAATTCCAGGAAATCTCTACACCAAGCATTATGTCACATGCAGTTACATCATTCCCTCTAACCTCTAGGGCTTCCTGTTGACATCTCTGGAGCTCTTGTACTACCAACTGGTATTAGAAGAAATGCCAAACGGTATTTTTAGCCATTTGTGTCTGCCGAAAGGAATCCAAGTGTTTCCATTTTGCAGCTTCCACCTGCTGGATCTCATCTTTGCTCTCTGAAACAAAGCAAACCTTTGTGGGGCTGCTCATGGTCTCCCCAGGTGTTTATATGAAGGACAGAGGGAGCGTGTGAGAGGTTTAGTGAGACAGAAGGGGCTAATGCCTCTGCAGAATGTATTTATTTTTAATGTCTAACAGATTGTTAATCCGGCCTGTCAGTTGTGTGACTTCTGTTATAACTTCACTGCAGCAGGCTGTTCCTCCTTTTTTCTGAATTCCTTCCTAGGAGATGCTTCTTCGCAGGGTGAGCTATGTTTCACCTTGGGGCTGCTTTACAAGCACTGTTCTGTGGGGCATTTCCCCCCTTCTCCTTGCAGGGCCATCCCCATAGGTATGTAGGAGCCACCCCCCTCGGTGTGAACAGTGACACCCCTTCAACTTCTCCTGGCAACTCTCACTTTTCAAGCCATTCAACTGAAAGAGGCAGGGCTCGAAGTCTTTCTTGCAAGATTATTCCTTCTTGAAACCACTGCTATGTCTCTTGGTTTGAGTCTTTTTTTATCATTATTATTTGTCTGGTTTGTATCTTCCTTTCATTTTAACGGTTTGATTTTTGTGGCTGTTTCTGTGTTTGTTCACTGTTGCAGTAGATATCAACAACATGATTAAATTCCAGCTCTGACTGTTGCAACATAAGCGCTCTGCCTTCATTATCCATGGTGCCTAAAACTATTTGATCTCTAATACGTTCGCCTGCAAGTGTGCCTCATTTGCATGATGAGGCTAACTGGTGCAGCCTGGTTGCATATTGGTCCCTGATTTCAGCTTCTCTTCAATCAGATGCATCAAACAGAAGGAACTATTAGAATTGCCAGCAAGTGTATTTTTTTCTGTTAATCATGCCAGAATGCTAGGAGTCCCAGGCAGCCTTACTAGGTTGGAGAAATCCACTGATAAAAGGCATGGGAGAACTTCTCATGTCAAACTGTATACAAACCAGGGCTGTGCTTGGGATCCTTGGTCTGTTTTGATGGCAAAAGCTGTTAGGATCACATCCAGCTATTGGACTGGTGGTTGGGCACCCTCCTCTGGTGAGCAGCACTTCCCATCTCTGCTGGCCCTGAGCCCAGGAGGGAGCTGGGCCACCCAGCAAGTACCTCTTCCCCAGCCCACCAGAGCTGGAGGTCTCCCTTCAGCCTCTCTAGGGGTCTCTGCTTGTGCAGTCTCTGCCCCCAGCTCATGGCCATCCTCTCTGGGCCTACTCTTTGACTCAGCTGACACTCATTTGGCTGTAGTCCTCCTTGGGCTTTACTGCCCAAAGTTTGCAGTTTGGGAAAGAAAGTGTGTTTTCTTACATCAGGCACTTGTGAACGTGAACCTTTGTTTGTGTCTAAAATGGAATCAGCAAACTTGGAAGCTAAATGTAAGTAGAGAGCAGAAGCTCAATAATTGTGAGATTCATGGCTATAGTGCTGAAAATGTTTCAAGTTGCCAATCTCCTTTCTGAATCATGGTTGGGATATGCCTGTGGATCCTGCATATTTTTCAGTACTATCCTAAGAAATGTGATTTGACCCTTTGCAGCATCCCTTACTTCTCTGATTTCAGAATTCAGCTTCTTACGCTGCAATATATACCAAATACCTCCATTTGCATTTGAGACAATTTTTAATTGAGCTGAACGATCTTTATGAACATGGAAATGTCTCTCATTGATCCAAAGGGGTCCTAGACTGAGCCCTCATTTCATACCCCAAAATTACTGTTTTCTTTTGTTTTTGGGTTAGGGCAGAAGCCAAGAAACTAAAATAAGCAGAGGCAAACAAAAGAACTCGGGATCCCATCAGCAGTGTTTGCTTTGTAGACGAACAGTAATTTTTCCCTAGCACATACTTCCAAGAATTTTTTAAAATGCCATTCATATATCATCTGCCCAAGCAGACAATAGTTGTTCCAGAGAAGCTGTTGCTCTCTATTAGGTCAATGATCAGTGAACTAAACATTTTCTACTTAGGCCTTCATATGATAAAAGCCTAAGAGCTTTGAAGGAGCCATTACAGACTATTGCCTAGAAGAAATATCCATTTGAAAATTCTGCAATTATGTACTTCTATAATAGCGTGTAAAAGGAGCTCTGGACCCATTATGGGTTATTGAGTAAATAATGTATTTTTAAAAGTGTCTAAGTAATTTATATGATAGCCTGTATTGGCAGCAAAGAGTGATTGTAGACTAAACATTGTGTCTTCCTTTCTTTTTGAAAATCTCATTTAAATCCCTAAATAGCAATTAAAAAAGAAATCCCTGATGCAGTTTCAGTATTTCTATAGCAGTCAATAGCTAGTGTCTCTGACTTTACTCTGCTGAGGCTGCCATTTTGTGCTGAGCCAGTTTCCTCTGGTCTGACTTTATGTTGATTGGATAAGACACGAGGCTTCATTATCAAATATAATGCAGAAGTGTCCAGAGGCCTCCTGGAGGTCAGACCCACAGTCATCAGCCCTACCTCTAATCAGGAAGAGGCACTAGCCAAAAGTCCAGAGAGAAAAGACAGGAAGATGTCAGTCCCTATTTCAGGGAAGAATTGAGGCTTGGAGAGAGGAAGTACAAGGTCACACAGGAGATGAAGAATTTCTGCCTCCCCAGAGCAAGTTTAGTTTCTTTGCTTTCTATTCAGACCTTCTGTGGAAAGGCACCATTGGAGATCCCCGTTGCTGTGGATCCTCAGTGCTAATGCAAACTTCTCCTTTATCAGATGCCCTCAGTAGTCTTGCTTCAGACCACTGCACTCAGCCCTCTCAAGCATGGACCCTGGTCAAAGCAGATATGAAAATAGTGCAATTCAAACTATATTGCAGCAACAATGCACCATGAAACAGCTGTGCTAGAAAACAAACTTGTCTTTTGCTCCTAAGTGTGGAGTAAGCTTCCCTTAGTCCTTCCCTTCATTTATCACACCGCTTCTTGCTTGGGCAGGGGTAATCCTCCTTTTTGATAATTTTCTGTCAAAAATTTAAAGAATAAGTTGAAATAGGTTTTTGTTTGTTTGTTTGTTTGCTTTAAGAAATACCAATATTTGAGCTGCACTGAATTCTGGAGTGCAGAATCACGTCTCCAATTAGCTTATAGGCCACGAAGCCCGGAGCTGTCACAAGGAGACCACCACACATGCATATTATATGTGCTTTAAAACCATACAATGGGCCTGACCTGGTGGGACAAAAGTAAAACAATTCTCTGCTTATGGTGATGCTCCAGACTTCACTGTTTTTGATGGTACTTCTCCTGGCGTAAATTAGACATGAAGCCACTTAATCTGTTATTCTTTAACCAGTAGGTCCAGACCTGTGCTGTAACTCGTATTACTCGTGAAATACACTGCCAGTCAGCAAGCAGCAGCTATCTGCTAACACGACTGCCGGGGGTTCTGAATTGTCTTTTTAGAGGTTATGTAATACCCACCCCTGCTGTATCCAGCCATGTGTGTATTCAAAACAGATCGTCTGCTTCCCATAGCTATGCTGTTCAGTCACACCTCGAGAGCATAGCCTTTAGACCTGAATTTGAATACATCTGTATAATTTCTCATTGTATACAAAAATTGTTTTCAATGGAATGAATGAAAATATGGCATTTTGGCTACCCTCTAAGGAGATTACAAGAGATGGGCATCTGTAGCAGGGCCACCAGTGGATTAGATTCTCTTTTTCATGTGTTTGGAAAGAAAAAGAAAAGAAAAAAGAATAAACACAGGGATGCCAAAAAGCACAAGGCTCAAAAGACAGAAATGAAAAGGAGTGACTTAATGAAGAGACGGTAAGGTAGTAGTAGGAAGAAAGATAAAGTAAAATAATGATGGAGGGGAGGTAATAGAACCAGAAATAAATGGAGAAGAAACAAGGAGAAAGGTATAAATACATTTAAGTTGTATTTGAGCAAAAATATATAATGTCTAAGAAAGCAATCAGTCTCTCTCACTGTTCAGCTGTATTTGTCACTTAGGAAATGACAGTTATCTGTTGGGATAATTGACTGGAAAGGTGATGAAGTCTCCATCACTGGAGGATTTCAGTGACAGAGTAGTCAAAAATCTGGGGCATACTGTCAGTTATTGGGCTTTTTACGATCCCTTCCAGCTCCATTTTCTGCAGCCTCGCCATCCCAAAGAGTGTGAGTGTATTAAACTGGGAATGAGAGCAATACCTCAGTTCTGTGTTTATGAACAAAATTGGCTCCGTTAACTCCTGGCTGAAGTTCTGTAAGGTCTCACAGAGTAAACGCGGCATGTGCTTGGAGGTAACGTCTATGAGGAAGATGAACATACAGGGGAAAACCATGAAAAGGAACTGGTAGATCTGAGGACAACATTTTCTTCTGAGGTCTGAGTTAAGAGGCCATATGCCTTACATCTTTCTCCTCATACTGAAGATCCCTATTCTGCAACAAATAAATAGTTTGGCTTTGGTGTAAAACCAAAACCCTCATAACTTGAGATAAAAGATTGTTATCTTCTTGCAAGGACAGAGTTATTAATTGCTCTAGTGTGCTTCAAACCCAAATAATTCTACTCTTTCTTTCAAAGAATATTCCTCCCAGTTTTAGCTAAAATTGTTCCTCCCCTGGCTTTTCTCAAATGGTTGGTGAAGAGAGGACACAGGTATGAAGTGGCCTGGGATTCCTTCAGGCTGGTGATTATTGCTATGCAAACCCTTGGTCACCACTGCAGTACAAAACAGAGTGTAAAATGGGCTTCTAAAAGAATAGTCTGGACAGGTATCACATTGGGATGAAAGAAAGGTTCATTTTCCCATTTTGTTCATTTCTCTCAGGGCTTGTCAGTGGGATCTAACAAACCTCAGTGTGATAATGTCAGTGGTCCTCCTCCGAAAGTAGGAAGCTTAAATTGCTCTTCTACTGCCATAGGAAGACAGACTTTGAAAACTGTTACTCCTTCCCCATGAAATTTGCAGTGTATTCTCCTTTTCACTATTCTTTACCATCAAGTACGATGCTGGTAATTTGAGGAAATTGTTTGCTTGTTTGTTTTCTGTTTAGTTTAGTTTTGTTTTCTCCCTGACATTATTTTAGAGACATTAGATTCATTATTTGAGGGTGTGTATGAGATTCTGGAAGCATAATTTACGTCTGCTATGCCGTGAGATCTTTGGTATGATACTGACTCATTCATTGGCACCTGAGAGAGGTTTGGGGAATTCAGCAAGCTTTCAACAATCCAGTTTGAGAGATTAAGCAGAATTATGGCTCACTCAGGTTTGTCCTAATTTTATTAGATTTTCACCATTTCTAATTGCATAAACATATGCAGCCAAGTATACAGATGGGGACTGGGAAGATGTACAAGGACACTCAGGCTCCATAGTCAGCTAATTGGTGGACTAAGTAATAGGGCACTTGGAAAGATTGATAATTTTTTTCAGAGCATTTCAAGGGAAAATTCTGTCCCCATTAAAACTGTAGAAATCAAGAGAAGAAAGATTTTAGCGGTAGATTTTGTTGGAATTGCAGAAAGAGACGAGTGGAAATATGTGATGAAGAAAAAATCCAGGATGAAAGAAGTTCTTTGGGGCAGTATTCACTATTTATTTGTTTTAGACATAGGAAAAAGATAGAATGTCTCAAAAACATAGAACAACTGGCTTGATCCATATGGTGACATCAGAAGTCTTTTGATCAGGGCTAAACACAAGATAAACAATAGTTAATGGTTTCAAATATTGCCTGGACAAATGAGAAGTCATTTTGGGTGCTACCATTGTTACTGGTAGCAAATGCCAAGCTGTAATGTTTTCAGAAACATTTTATATTTTCTTTTGGAAAATAAATCTGTTTTTGCTACGGCTAGGAGAGCTTTTGGGACATAAGTCAACGTATGTTATGGCTATTTCTGGTCAAATGGTCCCAGCTGAGGCACTGGCATGGCTGTTTATATGAGTACTTTCACATGAAATAACATTGCTGTCCATACTTGTTAAGGGAATTCTGCTGTTGGCTTACTTTCTGCAATCAAGGCAGAAGGGAATAGGAGAGAAAAGTCTATGCTCAAGTTTTTGCTACTGGACCATCTTCATCCCTGATATGGCACCTGCACTGTGAAATTGACTCTGAGTGAATGGGAATTCGGGTGTCCTCACCTCCTGGAGACAGGACAGAACTCTCAGACCAAATTAGCCTCAGTTGGATAGTTTTTGAAACCTCCCCAAGTAACAGACCTAGAAGATTTTTCCCTCATGGTGGCCTGGGCTGGACATTTGGTGGGTGAATAAACTGTAATTTGTTTTGTGTTTCCTTATGAAAAGCAGAATAAATGAAGCAAGCCAGTCTTTGCTGAGAACTTGGGCTTCTCAGCAAAGTTCTGCAATGCCCTCTCAGAAATCAAAACATTTCATAAATAGATCATGAAATATTTTCCAACAACAAAAATACAAGAAATTTAATAATGTCGGGATTTAGTTTTGTGTTAATTACTTTATTTTCTTCTTCCTCCTGTCCAGGCGGTAGCATGCAAACTCTGACCACATCACCGGTGTGAAATTGCTGATTAACCTTTTGACTCTGACAATTGGGACTTCTCTCAACACCAACTGGTAATGCAAAAGACCATTAGTAGTTAATTTTGGGACACCCCAGCTCCAGATGTCAAAAGGTTAATGAAAAATCAAGTCTCTTGCTTTTACTGGGCAACTTGGAAACCTTCCCCCAAAACATTTCATTTTTGTGATAAATAAGCCAGACCTCTTCAGCTGAGAAAGACGGGTGTTTTGCTAATGTGTACAGCTGTTAATTGAAAAAGATTCTGTTATGCCTGTTCTTCTGGATGTAGATAAAAGAGAGATTTGTTGGCGAACTTTAGCTGGTCTTGAACACCGCTTTATCCAAATACACTACTTAATAATAACGCTTTGTTCTTTCTGTAACAGCCATGGAGGGATTTTGAGTGGAATACTCATTTTCTTTAAGTCATATCTGCCAGTAATCATTCTTGGCTTAAGACCAGCTGTCATTTATGTGTTTTACGAAAATATAACACCAGTTTCATGCTCAAAACTATTCTCTTTTAGGTAAAAGCTTCAGCACAAGCTGGTTCCCCATATCTACCATAAATGCTATTTATCACAGATTTTGGTCTTTAAAACAGAAAGATAATGTTAAAACATTTTGATTACCCTTTCCTTACCGCTATCATTCACAAACCATCTTTTCTAATTATGGTATTAGGACATTTACATAACCGGGAAAAGGGTCCTTTAACTACATTTCTATTATGTTTGGCACTTGTGTGAAAGGATATTATATTCATGTGCATTAGAGATTGCTTATAAAAGATCAAGACAATAATAGCAGATCAGACGATAAAGGTTCCCTTTTCTCCTCCCAGACAGGCTGTCTCTGACAGAAGAATACAGTTCATCAAAAGTGTCTGCAGGTTGTCAAACTCGGTGAGATTTGGGGACACTCGGAGGCTGTCATGGCCAACAAGAAGATTTTCTGTAGGGTTCTGCCATCATTCACCCTCAGGAAATAATCACTCACTACATTCTGCATGCTCTCATGATAGAGCTCTATTTGAGAGAAAAGAGCCATTTTATCAAAGGACAATATATCCCTTCTCTTGGTCCATGCAGCTTCCATTATCAGACCATAATAAATCATATTTATGTTCTCAGTTAATAAGACTGATTACAATGCAGGTTACAGGCATGGGAAAAGCAAAGCAGGTGAAAAGATGTTTTAATGAAAATATGATAAGCAAACAGCTTCTTGTGAACATTTCAGGCTGTTATTTGTAATGATCATAGGCAATTTTTGATACATCTTCTTTAGCAATGGTTTAAGCTGCATAAATTGGCTTGCCACTTTATACGTTGAAATAGGAAGAATCCCAGTGTCCTTCTTATGTTGTCTAGAATCATTATATACATTATAAGCATAAAATGAGTTTAATGTATGTGCTTTGAAAAGAAGGGGAAAACAGAAAATCAGGGAAGACTGATTTTAATGCTGCTCAAAATGATTTTGAAATTTTCTACTCATCTTTGTTACTAACGGTGCATTTTCCATGAAATTTAGGAGTGACATGTATTGCTTTCATCTCCTTAAAATTAATATACTGCTCTTCCTGTTTTCCTCAATTTCTTCAAAGTTCTTTTTAGAACACTGTGCAAAGAGACAGAGAGAAATTTGCCACTCTATGTGTGAGCATCTCTGCTATTAATGCTGGGGGGAGTTAAGTGTGCTTCTGGAGAAGAATATACCCCTGTGTTAAATACTGAAAGGAACCCTGTTAAAAAGGCGCAAAGATGTTTAGCTGCAGCACATGTAATGTGTTCAGGGGCCAAATTCCCTAGGATCTTTTTAAGTGATTAAGATCTTTATATGTTAAGGCAAGAGTTCTCCTATGGTTTCAGCATTTAACTGTACCTAAGTAGCAGATGAAACGTCCTGCTCTCATTTTGTAAAAAGTCTCTCTCTTTTTTTCTCTTTTTTTTTTTTTTTTTTTTTTTTTAATGTTCAGCCTCATACTTTCAAGACAAAGTTAGAAGTTTAAATAATAATTTCCTTGCAGCGCTTGCATAATGCTGGTGACAAAGTTTCTGTGAAGTTGTGTGTCTGCAGGAACTGCTCTGGTCACAGGTATTTCCAAAGTCACCCTTAAACATATTTTAAAGCTTTGTAATTGGCCTAGCACTGAAGAATGATCACGAAATTCCTTTAACCCTTTTAGGGCACTTCAACAGGAGAAGTGATCACACAAGAAACAGTAAACTGCTCTTCAAAGGCAATATTCTGATATGACAACAGACATAGATAATGCTCGTCATGATGGAGCTGCTTGATACAGAGAAAAACATGTTGTAACTGCCTTCACCGTGAAAAGGGTTTAAAAATGTTGCCTGACAACTCCACAAAAAACAGAGCTGCTATTTCAGTTAAAGGCCAGTGGATTGTATTTTTCACGTCAGTTTTCACTAACCTCAAACATCACTGTTATGACAGACTGTCATCCAACCAAACCAGCAGTGTGGTGCCATTCAAGCAAGCAGGAAGAAAGCAAACATGAAGGAAACTTAAAAGTCCAATTAGTAAGCTGGGGGTGTATGTGAATGAACTACTCTTGTGCATTGATACTGATTACTGAAAATGAAACACTTAAACAAAAAAGTGCTTTCTGAGCCATTGGTGTTTTCTTGGCTGGCAGTTTCTCTTTGTTCTGTTTCATGACACCAACCCAGTGGTTGAAGGGGTGTTCTGGGCCAGATGTCAATCACAATGTCTGACATAAACAAAAATAGCTAAAAAGACATGCCGGCATCTTCCTTTTGTTTTCCCATTAGCTCCATTTTTCTTTTCATAGGCTGACAAAATATTACTGCCTCCAAGTGAATTCAGTAATGTCACTATATATCTAATATCTAGGAGACCTTTTGTTTTAGCTTTACTGGGCTTAACCACAAAAGACACTTGACATTGACAAAGAGTCTGTCAAATATACAATGATCAGTGCAATGAAATCTCTCATGACAGAAGGGCACTATTCTGCACACATACACACCAGCCCCCAGCAGCCTGTCTGAGCAAAATATGCTGGAGCACATGCAGCAGCTGAACCATTACAGAGCAGGCCATAAGCTGAGGCTTGTCTTGTTTAAAGTGTCATAGTATATCAGTATAATTAAAACCGCCGAAAGAGTAGAAAAGATAGATGGAAATGTTACATTACTTGTTTCTAGAGATTAACCTCAAGCCAGAACTGAAAGTCAGAGACACATTTTGCATTTCTTAGAGCTCTGATATGGAAGAAAAGAAGCCCAAGAGTACGACTCTTGAAGTGTGAGACATGAAGTCATAGTTCCTGTATTTACACAATAAAGCAGAAATAGCGGTTCAGACAGACATGCTGTTTTCTCTGTGATTACAGCTCCTGTTGTGGCTGTACTCTACAAAGCAGCAGTATCATCTCTCAGCTACTTCACTTTCATTCTCCTCTGCTTTCATTCCTCTAAGGTCTTGAGCACCTTTGGGTCTGCAGATGCACGGATGTCATGGCCCTCTGCTCCCATGGCATCCCCCAGCTCGGCCAGCACTGTGTGGCCACAGCCCAGAGGCAGAGGCGGTGCACCCCATCCCAGCTGGCAGCTGCAGAGGCTATGGATCCAGGCTCTGCAGCACCCAGCTAGGAAGATGTTTGAATGATGTCTTCAATTTAAAATTTTACCTTTTAAATGCCAGGCTCCATGCTTGTTTCTCTGTTGAGTCTAGAGATAAAATTCTATGGCTTTCTAAAATTGACCCTGAAAACTATGTTCCCTGCACCAGATGAGATGTTTTCCATGCCATGCATCATTGCTTGTCATAGCTATTCAGGCCTAGCTAGTTATGGTCCCATTTTCTAATCATGACCTGGGTTATATCTGGTGGTGAAAAGCTCATAGAGTTGTGGATCTATTCGGTTGTGGAGGCCCTGGTCCATCTAGAAGCTGGAGAGGACCTGAACTGGCACTGGCAGTTCTGAAACACTGCAAAAGCAGCATGTCTTTTTCCTAATTTTAGCCTTACATTCAAGGAGAAGATGAGTGGATCAGGCAGGTCTCATTCACTTCTAGTATAAATGAACTTCAAGGCCTTGCCTCATTGGTTGATTTGCTTGAAGTAGAGAGATGTTAAAAGGGGGGCTTTAATTTTAGGTTTCCTCATACATCCTGTATTTCTCCAACTTAATTCTCAGTTAATGACTTCTCCATGTAGTGCTTCTCTTAAATTTCTGGACCGGGGCTGTAAATGTGCATAACTAGTCAAAAATATGTTATCTGCATTTAATGTTGGCTTCTGGAACCCTCACCGCCGAGTTACCTTGCAGACACATTTCACCTCACACGCGTTTCTGTGTAGTGCTAGGAGAAGAATGGAAAAAAATATGAAATGAAAGCAGATTCTGCTCCCTTCAAAGGCAATGAAAACTCTGCTTTTACTTCTACCTACTCATAATACTGGGAAAAAAATGAAGTGGAAACAAGCACAACAAAACACCTCTGCCAGCTATCTACAAGCTAACCAAGGCTTCCACTAATGAGGTGGTCTGGCATTTTGAGAAAGACAGGTTCTTCCAGGAATGGAAAAAATATGCTGTTTTTTTCCTTCAACCCTGAGAGTATAGTGAGAGAGTAAAAAATTCTATTTCAAAAAAGGGATAGCAGTCAAACCTTTAATGCTGTCTGTATTATTAAATACCTACAGACACCAGCATAGTTTCTTGTCAGTCAGATGTTGTTACATGTTTCTTTGGCAGATTACTAAGTACTTATTCATAAACATTTCACCTATTTTCTGTATTTACAGGTTCATCCAAATGATCGTGAAATTCCTGAGAAAGTTATTACTTTCAAGTCACAGTAACAGAGTAATTTCCAGGTAAGATACTCTACAAGATGATTCCATACCATGGACAACTGTGTGTCTATTAAACAGAAAAGTACTATTTGTGGAAAAGATAATAGTCTAGATCATGAGATAGCAACAGATTTTGTTATGATCTCCAGATGTCTTTGGGAACTTAATGCATCCAGCATTGGTTCAAGTTTAATCTGCGTGGCAGAAATGCAAATTGTTCCAATTTCCTTCTCTCTGAGGCTGTGAGGGGGAACTTTGTCTTCCAGAGGCTGCAGAGGACAGGATGGTGTAGTGTGGCTGTGCTTTGGTAAGAACTTTCACTGCTTCGACAACTGCTCCTGGAGTGCTCAGGGGTATCAAGTGCAGAAAAGAAAAGCTTTCACCATTGCTTAGTGGGACAGTGTAGTACCAAGGCCTTTCTGTTACACATCCCTTAGAGCTGGCTCTGTGCTTTCCTGAAGACCAGAGATGTCCAGGAGTTTCTGGTGGCTCACCAGTACCTATGAGCATTGTAGGGTGTTTGCTCCATTGCATTCCTGATCGGGAGCAGTTTGTAGCTGAACTGTACAGGTAGGTGGTGGTGGCTATTGATGCAAGGATCTGTCAGTGCATTGCTTTTGGATTTCAGCTCCATTGGGCTGGGAAGTAAAAAAGAGTTCCCAAAGCAGAACAAGTGACTGAAATGACAATGCAGAAAAAAAGAAAAAAAAAAGAAAAAAAAAAGCTTACGGCTAGTATTTCTTTGTGGGAATCTGTACAAAAACAATCAATTTTGGACCTTGTGTGTTTCTCTCCGGAGCCAAAATCCAGAGTGAGTGCACAATAGAGTGTGAGAGGAGAGCATTTCAGCTCCTTCAACTCTGTGCAGAAAACCTCTCAGCGCTTCAGATAGGATTTTAGCATTTCTCGCAGTCTTCAAATGTTGTGCTGTGCAAGGATGTGCTTATACATAATTTTGTAATTGAAATGGCATGTTTACTGTTCTATTTCATGCTTGATTGTGTTTTTTAAACACCTTTACTTACGCTGCTAGAAGTGGGATTATAATTAAAATGTCCTGTTGAACACCTTGTTCAGTTCAGTGAAGGCATAATAGAAGTATAAATACTTGTTCTCGTTGACTCTATGATGTCAGCACAACAAATGCAGTGAATGTCAGAAAACTAATCTCTCTTTCACCAAGGTATGCACCAGAAAGGAAGGGGAAACAGAAGAATCTGTGGCTGGGCAAAGAGGAGGCCCGTTGTGCGGGGGATAGGAAATATTTTGAGATACTGTTAACTTCTTAGGTACAGTGAACCTGAAGGTCCATGAGGCCTACTAAGTGTTGGCAGACATACTAAACGAGTTTGAAATGACAATATTATTCTTACATAAAGTCTTTTCTCTACAGATTTCTAAGTATTTTCCAAGCATTAGTAAGTTAAGCTTTAATAAGTAGGTTCATGTTATTATAATACCTGTGATATATATGTGTTAACTAGGGCTGGGAACATTTGACTGATTTAGCCGGTTACTAGCAAAAATTAGACATTAATTTGTTTCTCTACTAACAGCCCTTTGGCCTAAAGACTGGCAGTACTTTCTGTTTCTCCAGTAGCCATTAGGAAAAGCTGCATCTGGTTATAAAATGTGAGTTACATACTTCGTAGTATTCCTGTTTCTTTAAGATGTATACAGATATGCAGACCATGTCTTTATGGTGGGATTGAATTACAACACAAAGTTCAAATGTTTCTAGGTCGAAGTCCTGGTTACAGCACTTTTGCATGGCAATAATGGCTTAATTTTCTTCATGTTTTGTCTTGTACGCTAAGTTACCCCCAGTGAAGAGATTCCTACCCTTCCTGGCAGGCAGTTGTTGAGTTTTAAGGAGCTTCAAATAACTTTACAGATTGAAATTTCTGGTAAGTAGGGGAGTTCCAAAATTTAGTTTTATGTTTGATGCTTGGTTGGTCAGTTTACTTGGATACTTTGGCTCAGTTTCTTTCTATGAAAAATGGGGAATACAATGTCTGTGTTCCTTGTGCTCTTGGGTTGATGTAACAGTGCTTTTAATATAGTAGGTACTAGACTCTAGACTGCACATAAACTATGAAATTTTATGTTCATGTCCTTTCACTGGCTGAAAGAGGGCTCTCAAACCCAATCCCAAAATGCATAATATTTCTGTGCCAGAGCAGGACTCACTAGTCAGTGGCTGCCTTATGGGAAAAGCACACGTGATCTTTATAAAGCAGGTAAATAAGTGGTCCCAAAGCATGTGCAAATGACCTTCTCTAACCAGTTTCAGTTCCAGCAACTATAAGCTCAGCACAAGTTGTGGAGGGAGATTGTTCACGTAATTTCCTCTTCAGAATGAAAAGCAGTGAGAAAGTGGCAAATTAGGAGGTTTTTCTTCAGGGACAAGGGACAGAGATAGTACACAGGGCAGTTCAACCCAGTCCAGAGAAAGATTCACTGGGATAAGGCTACTGAGCGTGCAGGACAAAATTTACAAGAATGTTTTTGTCAGATGTTGCAACAAAACTTAGTGGATTTGTTTGAACGTCTCATTATATATACAGGTGCAGCTCTACACACCCACACACGCTGCATTTATTTCAGTGTGTGATCATATAAATACCTGCAGGTGCAACACTGAAGAGATACCCGTGCTGAGGCATGAATATGGAGTTCCACATCTGTATTTACTGCCTTGTTCACACAATGAACTAGTGCAGACAGTGGGTTCTCTTCCCACCTCCCACATGCACTTTAAAACTTCATTTTGGAGGTAATTTAATCCTGCTAAATGCATTTAATAGATGGATGTCAAGGTATAGAATCAAAATCCATGAAGGTGAAGGAGTATGGAACAGCCATCACTTTGCTGTACTGCACATATATGTACAAAATTAGAAAGAAACTAATTTCAGATAAAGAAGGCCACATCACATTAATGTATGGTCATAAACCCATAAAACTGGAATTTAATGTGCCTTCTGAGGCACCTAAAACTTCTGTTGGCCTTCAGTACAGTGGCTGGTTTCTCTTTCCTGGCACACAGAGAGATGTTTCCTTGTCTGTAATACTGTCAGATAGTCCGTAATACATGGGGTGCAAATCATGTCTGCTGCAGAAACCATGGTTTTGAAATCATTGACTTGTGTGCATGTAAAAATCTCAGTTGTGGTATTGCACTTATGCAGCTGGTTGCATTCAATATCCATCTGATGCTAACTACCTGGTTACAAAGGCCTTCCTCACAGTGTCAGAAATGTAGAACAGCTAAAGGCTATAAACTGGGGACAATATTTTGCATGTAATGGTTGCCTGCAGAGGCTCAAGGTTCTGAAAGTTTCTTACTTTTTATAAGGCCTTCAGTGAGAACTTTTGTTTTGTGGAGAGAAAAATAAAACTAACAAAGTTCCTTTGAACATTTCAGCAGCCTTTCATAGCATTAGCTGTGAAAGTAATGGTGTCACATTCCTAACAAGGATGTATGGGATCTGTGTTTTAGGAGTCCCTGCTGCTTTCCTTATGGAAACTCTTTCAGGATGCTTTGGGATTATTTGGTTGCACCACGATTTCATAGGGATCTTCTCTGTTATCTTCTGTCCAGTTCATTCCTTTGACGACCTAGGGAGAAAACATGGAACTGGAGAGCATTCAGGGAAACCCTGTTCACATCTCTGTATAGCTAAAAACTACGTGACAGAAAATGTGGAGGAACCATAGTGCTCAAAAGTCAGTTAAGCAAAAACTTTAATAAATGGTGCTGTCCAGGCAAAGGAATGGCGAGAATGTCATCAGTGGAGACTACATAGGAAGCAAAGGAGTAAAAAAAGTACATTTTTTTTGTTTCTGATATGAATGTCACTGCTTTGTCCAGAGGGACCAGAACTGCCATCTATGACTCATGATAGTGAATGTGCTCTGTGCAGTGCCATGCAGAAAGGGACCAGAAACAGCGGAGAGTGGAAGAAAACACCGTGCTAATGAAGAGTTTCGTCCGGGCAAATTTAGCTCCCTGAGAATTAGCCTGGGTATCTCTCCATGACACACTTATTTTAGAATCACAGCATGTTGCAGTTATTAGACTCTGGCAGGCTCCTAGGTAGGAACTGTGTCCAAGAGCCTTTATTTCATCTGCTCCAATTGAGAAGAGTGTGGCAGTTTCTTTTGGTTGAGACTTTGCTATAACGATCTGAGCTTTAGTCACTGTGAGGCTAGCCCACTGCAAAGCATTCAGCTGGTGTTACAACCAGCGACAACTGAGCTCCGAAAGTGAGTGCAGACTGTGTCTATCAACTTATTAAGTAATGGGGCATGTGGAGAGCCCATTACCCAGTAATTGGTGCTAGCTGCCAGTTAGCATTCAGCAGGACTTGTAGCATTTGTATAGCCCTTACAGTCCAGAGCGGCCTGGGATTGTTCTTGCCTTATTTGCTGCAACTGTAATCAGATGGTGGCTCTCTGCTTTGCAGATCTACCAAAATCAGACTGAAAGACACGTGGAAGTACAGAATCTCCCCAAGGAGCTCAGCCAGAGGGATGCATGAGTCCACAGCTTTGTGGTAAGGCTGTACTCCAGTGACCCTTTTACTTTTGTTGGCTTGCAGGTTTCTTCCCCCTCCCTGAGAGAGGAAAATCATGGACTTTGTGGTAGGTGACACAAACGTCTGCCTGATTGTGTAAAACCTTAAGCAGGTCTTTAATGATGAGATCCTCGGGTATTTTCTGACCTCATGGATCACACAAGCAGCGCTTAGTTGAGGGCAGCCCAGAGACACGGAGATGGGGAAAGGACTGCATAGGCAGGTACACATAAATATAGCTGTGTAAGATATGTGTCGCTTGCAGCTTTGACTTGGGGAAACCTTTTGTGCTCTGGCTACTAACTACTGCCATCAGCCCCCAAATTGCTGTCAGACGGCAGGAGCGCTTCCAGGCAGGTGCAGGCAGGGAGCACTCAGCCCCGGCACAGGCCGGGAGAAGAAGGGGCTTCCCTCACCGCCATAGCACCGCTCCTTAAACAATACAGCACCGAGCCCAGAGGCCGGGCACGGTGCTAAATGTGCGCGAAGGGCTTTGAAGTTAACGCCGGCCTCCGGCGGAGCCCCCGGCTCGGGCAGGCCCGGGGCCGGGCAGCGGCCCCGTCAGCCGGCGGCCCTGCGCCAGGCGGCGGCAGCGGGCGCGGTTCGCGGCGGAGCCCGGCAGGTGGCGACCTTGATCGCCGAGTGAGGGAGGCCGGGCGGGCGGGCCCGAGAAACACATCGCCCCCCGCCCCCCTTAATTTGGGAAGTATTATAGCCGAAGTGTTTTCGGCTTATTATTATGCATGAGTAAGAATTCCATGAATGTGTAACATTTTCGGCTGTATTTCCCTCTTTTATAACATCATTTAAATTCCTCATTAATAATTTAGAAATGTGCTGGATTTTAATCACTTTTCTCATCACTACGACATCCGAGGCAGAGCGCTCCCCGTTACCTGAAGGTGACATGGAGGCATCGCCCGCCGGGAGAGGGGCTGCCGGAGAGGCCAAGTCCTCCCTGCCCGGCTGGAGGGACTTGCCCTCGTTAATTAAATAGCCCTGGTGTACAAAACCTGAGGTTTGAGCAGGTCACTGTTAATAAAAAATTTTTAAATAGGGATTTTTTTATTTATTTTTTTTTGGCATCTGACTTTAATTATGGTGGTATTTGTTTGATAGCTTGTTACTGTAAATAAAAGAGATAAAAGCAGCCCTTCACTCGAGTAGCTCTAGAGCTGTGAAATATGTACCTAATTAAAACTATTGGTGTAAGAGGCTAATAAAGTACATGTGCCTACTAGATGTCTTATTCTAATGAATCTCGGCTAATTTGCTTTGAGTGATGAATTTCGGTGTTAGTAGTAAGGGCTGAATAATTATGAAATTTATCACGAGGTGCAGGGACTTGTGGAGGACCAAGGGGGCTTGGGGAGGGAAGAAGGGAGGGGAGGGGAGGGAAGGGCTGTGGGCCACGGGCCTGGCCCCAGTGGGTGTGGAGGAGCAGGGCCAAACTCCAACACGAGTCAGGGGCCCCAGCACCCAACCCGGGCCTGGGGTGGCCAGGAGAGCCCGTGTGAGGTGTTTGTGTGAGGGCATGAGAGTTGTGGCGAGGGTAGTCCTCCCAACGAACTCCCTCATTTTCCTTGTTTTTCTCCTGGCACTGATGAGAAATGGGCTGTAGCATACACTCCTCAAGATTCCAAAACCAAGCGCAGACGGGTTATCTAAAGCACTTCAGATAGAGCTTTGGTCTTGCGCCAGCAGCTAATCAAAGTCTTAATTCTGGAAAATACAAAGGCTGGGCTTTCCAAGCATCATCCCTCTGGTTTCTGCCAGAGATGGACAGACGGCACTTCTCAAAACATTTTTTGCCCCACATGCTCCGAGCACCATGTGGGCTGTGGGGCTGCCTGTGGGCAACAGCGTGAGTTGTGCTGGCCTTTGCTGGGTGACATCCAGCTGAACGTGCGGGCTGGCGGGTGGCCTGCTTTGTTCAGGCCTGCGGGCAGACACCCTCAGACCCTTGTACTGGACAACCTGCAATGAAGTCAGACAAGAGAACGGCGTGCGTTGACAGCCCGGCCCTGAGAATAGATCTGCCCGTTGGAGCAGTACGGGCTTGTTGGCAGAAAGGATATATTCTGAGAGAACCTGGATAATAATAAAGGGGCTGGTTAAGCAGAGAAAGAGCCTGCAGAGTAGCACATATTTTTATTGCTTTTTTGCAATAGAGTAGAGAAAACATCCCAAGGCTAAATGTCTATTGTAGGCTTTCCTGTAGTCCCCAACGACGAGTATTTAAACACTCACACGTGCGCCCGTTCCCACAGCTTCTTCCACTTAACAGCAGGGCGGGAGGGTGGTGGGGCTGCCATGCTGGCATGCCCAGCCCTAACCCAGGGCCGGTGCAAATCTGCAGGGCCCTAACCTCACGTTTCCTCACCCCATGTGTCATACCAGGGCTTTATTTACAACCAAGCCATCTGGGCTTTGCTGTCTATCCGAGTCTGACCTGATGAGTTAAAATTATTTGCTGAAAGTGTGTGGTAGTTGCAGCTGTTGAAAGCGCTCTGGCAATTTCTGATATGCACATGAATGTGGAGGTTTTTTTACAAGTGCTACATCTGCATTTTTTTCTGCAGAATGAAATTTTGACTATTGCTAATACCAGCTGCATAGACAGGTGGAGCTTGTTATTTTCCTCACAGAATCTACCTTTTCATAGGGAAAAGATCATTTTTCATGGTTGTACAATCTATTGGTGTGGTTGATTGAGAGTAAGGTTGAGGAGAACTAGACTGCTTTTCTCTTTGCCACTGACTCACTCTTTGACTTTAGGAAAGTCTCTGTCATCCTGGGAAGCTTATTTCTCTATTTGTAAAAAGGCAATGATGGCTAAATCAAAGGACTCAGTCATCAATATCATAGAATGGATTGGGTTGGAAGGGACCTTGAAGATCATCTAGTTCCAAAAGTATCCAGAAGTAGCTTCAAAATTCCAGATGGAAGCACTGAGTATTGTCACAAAAGCAGGGTCCATTGTGCTTTCTTAGAGACCTACAAAAGCCTGTTTTCTTCTATTGAGAGAATTCTTCCTGTGTTGCTCAATCAATGATCATTTTAATATATTTTTCTGCCTCTCAGTTACATCTCAAATATTTGTGTCTATGCAATTTTCATGGTCTCATATCTTGTCTCTTTCTGTATAAAATGTATGTTGTCAGCTTGAGGAAACACTTTTCCTTTCACCTTCTTTGTAATTACCAAAAATAGTTTTAACCTATTAAAGCATTTTTGAGCTGTCGATGTGGTACGGTATTAAAACCTTGTTATTCCACAGCAGACCCTCCTGTGCATTGTTTACCTTCTGATAACATTTCTAATAAGAAGCCAAATGCAAGCGGAATGAGAGGGTTACTTGCACTGTTTGGTCCAATGCGACCTTGCACAATAAAATATATGCAAAAATAAATGACACCCCTGTAAATCTAAGAGAGAAAGAAAAAGAAATATAAGCGGTTTGTTTCTGCTGGCTTTTCTTCTAGGAAGAAAACCCCGTCTGTTTGTGTATTCTGGATGGACATTATTAATGCTATGATATGAGACCTGACAGCAGGGATTCCTGTGTCTGTGTGAACATCTTTTGATTTTAACGTGACTCCACCAAGAGATCCCTGCATAGAGGACTACCCCATTTTAGAGGACGGCATGCTATGTCCCTTGGCAAGGCCTAGATGTGAGGTGCTCTGAACTAGAGTTACAGATAGAACAAGAGCTTAATTAAGAGCTAAGCTGAGTTACTATAACAAAGCCTGAGGCTGCAAGGAAACTTTCCACCCAAAGTACATTTCCTAAATGTTGATAGCAGATGACTCTCCCATCCCATAGGCTGGGGATGTGCTGACTTTCCATTCTCAGTGTTACTTGTTCTCAAATTGCAGGACTTCTGATTTTTGGTTTTTGAATGAGCTTGATCTGATAAGCTAAGATAAACACACTTTTAAAATAAAGTGTAAAGATCATTAGTAACTGTTGTTCAGATTCACAGTCATGGTTAATATAAATTCCTTTTTCCTTTGGCACCTAAGCAAAATATAGTCTAGATTAATTCTTCTGGTGGTAGATAAGGAGGAGTGTAATCAGAGGGGACCAGTAGTGCTATTTGAATGACATGTCTTGCAATCTGTTTTTTTACTGGATGGTGAGTTAATGTTCCAAAATCATTTTCTCTTTTTCTGTACCCCACCTCTATTCACTAGCTTTATTCTGCTTTTTTCCCACCTTTACCTCAACCTTCTCTATGATGCCAAAGATACCTTGGCATAGGTAGTCCCACTTCAGAGATTCCCTGCTCACAGAACATCTGTCTGTTTTCAGTACTTTGGACAAACAGAAAAACAGCTTGGGATCTGTTGTGCTGTTGCCTGGATGAGTGTAGAGTTGGTTTGGATTAGTCCAGCGGAAGGGAGCTGTTTATGAATGGACTCAGCCCACAGATGCATGAGGTCTGAGAATGATAAGTGCAAGACTTCATCTCTCTGGGTCAATAGTCTTTGGGACAAGGCAAAGAGGAGACAGAAGTTGAGGAGTCGCTGCTGTTTTGGCGTCTCTATTTCAGGTCACAGTCCTGTCAGGTCAACAAAAGTCATGCAATGTGAATGGTGCCAGAAATCACTTGATGTTTGTGCATGAATATTTATCCTCAGTCTTTTTACTATCAACTTCATTTTGCATTCTGATGAACTGATCATTACACACCTTCTTTGAAGCCCCCAAAGGCCCTTTGTTTTGTAGTACACCAGGCAGTGAGCCAAACGTAGGTCTGTAGATGCATTTCTGTCACCTTCTTCTTGGAGCTTTCTTCCAGGAGGTCATCTGTGTTTGGACTGGAGTCCCTCCTAACTGTGGGGAGGGGTGGATAAAGCCCTTACAGCTGTGCAGTGGTGACCCCAGACATTGTCCTGGGGCATGTCCCAGGGCAGCTGCCTGGGCTGTTGCGTTGCTTACAGCAGCATATGCATTGACTGCTCGTCAGTGGGATGGTATAGATCGTGCTTGACTCCTGACCTTTGTCTCACACCCTTGTTCTAGACCCTGGTGCAAGCTGGTGTGCTGGACTGCCTTTCCCTCCTCCCTTTAGCTCATACATAGTTGTTTGGCACACATCCAAACTGAATGCAGTATGGAGGAAAAGGTCTGCAGTTCCCAGAGTGTATATACACATGTGGTCAAATCCCCAGCTCATTAAATTAGTATGTGGAGTGGAGACCAGCTACTGATTTATGTTTTCATCTATGCAAGGTAAATTGGATTGAAACTTCACACTGTTTAAAAAGCAGAGCTGAGATTCTTGCTTACATTTGAGTTCTAAATTAGAAAGCACATGACTATGCTTCATGGACCTGAAAGAGCTGGGTCTGAGTTAATATGATGCTTATACCATTGATTTCACTGGAGCCTTTTGTATCAGAAACCACATGTACACAGCCCCACATTGTGAAGCGAGATTAATTTAGCTGTTGGAAAATTATGTGCTGTATAAGAATGTTCTGTGAATGAGCTGGATTGCAAATTCTGCTTCTTACTATTTGCAGTGCAAGGCACCAGTAACATGAACAGGGTACTTACTGGTTTCAGCTGAACTTTGCAGAAATGTGAATGACAGGCACCCAAAGTAAGGAGATAGATGGTGGAGAACTAAACAGTGTGAGGCCTACTGTGTCAGATATTAAAATCCTGAATCTAAATGGTACCATAGATATAAAAGTAATTGCAAAGATTTTAGAACTGCAGTCCCTCTAAGAGCACAGAAGGGGTGTCATCTCTTACAAAAAGTTGATCTGTGATTATTCTCAGCTATAATTACAGGGAGCACCACAGAGAGGGTTACTAAGAATATTTCTGTGCTCCAGTTTAAGAGGTTATTTTAACGTTTCTCAAATGTATCCGCTTTTAGAGCCAAAACTCTTGTTCCCTCTCTTTCAGTTGTTACAGCAATAGTTGAAGCAGAGCAACCTTCCTGTGATGTACCTACCCTGGAGAACAGAAGCACTCTGGCTCATAGATGTAAATTACCTGTATGCAAGCTCAGTTTTTGACGCACTTCCTAACAGTACAAATTCACTCAGTGCAAGTCCCTAAAGGAACATGGGAAGTAGGCTGTTACCTTGAAGTGAAAGCCACTGTATATTGTCCTAGTGATCCCTTATGAGCAATTGCACTTCAACTTTACTCATTTTTATGTTGGTAAAATTTTTGATTACTTGGCATTTGCAAATGCTGGATATATGAAGCTTAAGTAGCATAGATTACAGTTTTCTACTGGACCAGAGACAGTAAAACCATGAGCCTCTTCTGTTGTGGTTCCTGCTACTTATTAACTAACCAGTAACTGTTATTTCTTCCAAGTACACAGCCGTACTTCTGCAGAAATTATCCTTGCACCAGTACCAAAGATATTAAAAGTTCTCCTTACTCATAGCAATGAGATGCAGAAAGATCAACTTTTCTTGAACTCCCTGTTGCTGATAACTTTTACTTTTTGACATTTGTATTCTTCCATGTGTCTGGATCAGTTCCAGTCTTACATGTTCATGTGTTCTCCTAGACCAAACAACTTTCCGCCTCAGTGCCTAGCCACCAATTACTAGCTGAAAATTGTACATTTTGCTGCTTGCCTGGTCCCTCCCCATATCTCTGCCATCAGAGGAGGCCAAGCAAGCATTCCCTAATGCACTACAAGTAAAGCCAGCCTGGTTAGCTCATATCCATGTTCATCACCAGGTGAAACGAATCTGGCTGACTTAGCTTGAAAGAGATTAGGAGGCACTTTGTGATCCCTCTCACCAATGGAACAGTATGTTGGGTACCTGGAAGGCAGCAACAAACACTATAGAAAGAGCTGTCACTTCCCAAAAGAGCTTCTCTGTGGCCTCAGATTTTCTCACCACTCCCATCCTTGAACCCAGTCTTGTACACCTGAACTTTCATGTTTTTTCTACATATATAGCCTTTATTTTTACCTTAGTGGCCACAACTAAAGATGTATTTTGACATCTTAAATGAGTCTTCTCTGTTCAGCTTGGCCTGCCTGTCTTTATTAATTAAACTAGTGTCTTCATATCAGGTTCCTTCAGCTCAGCTCTTTCTGTTTCAGCTCTTGCTTTCCATTTGCCTTCATTATACCCTGCCATCCTTGAACTGCACTGAACTCTTCCTCATTTCACATCTTCCTGTACAACATTTGGATCTGCTATGTCTCTGCCTAAATTTATCACAACTGATGCAAAATCTTCTTTGACACAGATCCAGGAGTAAGGGGACAGACAGACGTCTCCTCTCTTTGTCACATTCATTTGTCCTCTAACATAAAATCAACTGAAAATGAAGGACATTCTCTTTCGTGACCATAACTTCACATTCTTCTTTTTCCTGCTAGTTTTGCTTCTGGGATACATTTTAATATGTCATCATCCATGGAAACTGCACTGTTTATATTTGCAGCTTTTCAATATGCTTGGAGTCGGTGTTTTCCAGGTGAACAGTGTATTAAGATTTAATCTGAACCTAGTCAGATAATATTGACCCACAATGAAAAAGCTGTATGAATGAGATAGTAGCAGACAGCTTAAAGTGCTGAGTGCCATGTGCTGACTGAAAAATGATACCCCAGAAGTTTGGTAGTGGAGAGCAGATGGGACATTTATGAATGGAAAAGCTTCTTGATTATTTAAATATTATGATTCTATTTTTAAAACTTTCTCCGTTTGTTCAAGTTTTGCCAGGCTTTGCCTGCTGCAGTAGTATGTACAGCAGGGAGCTTCCAGAAGCTGCTTACCCCTCTGTAAGCTGCCATGTCTTGTTATTAACTTCAAGGCTGTTTTGCTGGAGTAGACTTCCCCAAAATGAGAACAAATAAGAACTGAGCCCGAGACTTCAGCTTCCTGATGCTCCTCTCTATGCCCATTTCAGCTATACTTCCCACCGTTCAGTGTCAGCAGTCATCAGGAAACATGTTTTTTGTTTCCCAAATCAGGGTCTCCTGAAACAAATCCCTAGGTATTACAATACTGCTGCAGCTTGCAAGCCGCATTGTGTTAGGGCCACAAACAATGAGTTGGACATTGCCCAAAGTAGCTTTTAGTCCAGGTCATGGATGTGAAGGATAGACAAGGGAAGCTGTTTCCACATATATCTGAGTTGCTTGGGTTAAATGTAATGAATTATTCTAGCAAACATATTCCAAATCTTCCCCATCAGTTTTTTACAAGTTCCAAATTTAGATGTTGCTGTAAATGAAAAGGAACAATTCAAATGCCTTTCTGAATGCATTTGAAATGAAATAAGTTACTGTAATTTCGCTGGCAAGCCAGCTCTTTGGAGGGGGCAAAAGTTGCAAATGGAAAAACAAACAAACAAATGAGTGAGTAACTGTGGGAGGTGATGCCAGAATCAGAAACAAGGCTGGATAGGAGGAAAGGAAAGGGGTGGGAAAGGCTCTTGTTTGCCCTGGGACAATCTGTAGAAAACAAAACAAAATGTGGGAGAGAGTTGAACAGAAAACAAACAAACAAACAAACAAAAAAAACTCTCTTGGTCTTGTTCTTGCTCTTCTTCTGCTGCTGCTTTTATTTATGTATTTATTTATTTTTTAATCGAGACAACCATGCTACCAGGACCCATGATGTTGCTTTTAAAGAGGACCTCAAAGACTTTGAGAAGTAAAACAGAAGTTTCCATCTTCATGGTTCAGATTCTTCCTTTAGAGGAGTTCCTGCAGCTACAGGACTAGGAGGTAAGTCTCCTGGTCTCGACTGTAAGGAGGAAAAATGAATGAGATTGCCAGATGCATGGAGTCCGCAGTCAGTGAGCTGAGAAAAGCATGACTTCAAGCTACCTTTCTGCTTTCCAAATCGTGTACTGGTGAGAAATTAAAACCTAGTTTAGGTCAGCCTGCAGGTATAGAGTGTGCTTCACCTCCCTTGAACTGAGGATGGGAAGTAAAGGAAGGAGTGCTGCAGAGCTGCTGGTTCTCAGCTCTCCAAAGACTTCCTGCTAAGGGGAATCCTCAGTTGTCCATTTAGGGTAGTATTAGAGCTGCGCCGAACTGCTGAGGCATGCAAAGAAGCTGCAGATGGAGCTGGGAGTACAGCTCCGTGCTTCTCTGTTGAGCCACCCAGTTACAGCAAATGCCTGCTAGAGGTGGGTACTAAGGCTGCTGGTAATGGCTAGAGGCAGAGCAGGGGGTCTGGTTTTAATAAAAAGGTAGTTTACGAACAGCATTTTTCTTATTTTAATGATAAAATGGATATGAAACAGTTACACTCCAGGCCCTTATTTTTCAGTGCTATTATTTTTTTAGAACACTGAAAACAAAATAAGCAGAAGGAGGGGAAAAAAAAAAGAAAAAGAAAACCCTTCAGACAACAATCACCTTTTGAGTTAAATTCTCATGCTTGGTCTTAGCCCAGAGGGATTTGTCTTGAGTGAAGTTTGAAGAAAATCCTTTCAGCAGTTTCTGAGTTATTTAAATGTAACCATGGAGGTTTGGATTCAGATGCTTTTTTGCACTTGTATAACTCAAAAATAGCTTTGCTTTAAAACTTCTAAATTAACCCTCCTTAACTTTTCAACTTGTCTCCTATCCTACTGTACGGCTTATAAAATTTTAAAGCTAATAGTATAACAAACTCAAATAATGATACTGCAGATGTTCAAATGAATCTTGGGAGGAATAAATTATAGGAGTCACAGTAGGTTGTTTCTGAAGAAAGAGCGGCTGCATGCTTTAAACTATGTGCTCTTGCTGGTCTGAAATAGGCACAATCTTTTCTACTATTAAAAAGCGTAAGTAGTTTGGGTGTGGATTTTAATACTTGGTTAGACACAAGAAATTAAACACCTAAGTCCTGTTCCTTTGTTACCTCCTGACAGCAGTGCTTCAGATTTGTCAGAACAGTCTCTGAAGTTCTATTGTTTTCTTTCTAACACAGTCCTGATCAACGGGACACTTAAATGCCTCCTAAATATTTAGGGACTTCAAAGTCACTGAAATGCTCCGTGATTGTCCTACTGTTATCATTTTATTGCCAGAAGATTGAGGCAATGTGAGGAGAAGTGATTTGGTCTGCCATGGCTTTTTCCCTTTTCCCTTTTGTTCATCCAATCCTCCTGTTGCTTTCTTATGTTTCTTCCTCTTTGTCTTCTTTCCAGTGTTTCTGCCTCACTTACTAGTCCTGTCCTCTCTGTCTCCTATCTCTCTTTCAAACATCTTTCTCCATTTATTCTTCTCTAACAATTGCACTGAAGAGGGCCCATGATAGAGGGAAATGATTTTTTACTTTGGCAGCAGCTTTTTACTTTTATCTTTTCCCTAACTGTCTGGGATGGGTCCAGGCAGCTCTCCCCAGGCTCGTCATCTCTCTTCATGTAGCTCATGACCCTGAGCCCCAGCCAGCAATCTGATGTCTGCCATGAGAACACCTCCCATGATCTGCAGCCATGATCAGACGAAGGTGTTGCAATGCTGTGCATTACTTTACCTGCTTACCACACTTGCTCTGCCTCTTTCTAGGAACGGGACACCCATGCCAGGTCTTTCCCACAGAACAATGACAGATAGTGCTGCTGCCTTCTGCACGTCTCACGTCTGTGCTCCTGTGCCCTTCTTCCTCTAACATGCTTTTGTGGTCCAGCCTACTGGCTGGCACGATTATCTGAGATCCAGGAAGCTTGTATTCAGCTCTGCCCAGGGCGATTTGGGCTTCAATCTCTTGACCCCCTGATTTAGCACTCTACCCAAGGGATTATCAGCTGTTCTGCAAGGACTGTGTCCTGACTCCTTCCTTCAGTGGGAAGCTTGTGCTGGACTTGTCAGCCACATAGTGGGAGTGTCAGGCCCTGCCCCAAGAAACACTTCATACAAAACATGGAAATGTTCACTGGAAGGGGGGAACAGGACCCAGGTTTCTTGCCCTCAGTAATGCTTTGAGAGCAAGCACACATGGCAATCCAGTTAATATTTAATTATTCCATACAAACTGGAACAGCTCCGAGGAGATGGATTGGAGAGAGCCCCACTTCCAGCAGGTCTTTTTAGCTTGCGCTGGTTTCACTTGGCTTCTGTAGGTCCAATTGTGGGAATGTGTTGTGAGGAAATATGTGGAGGCTGGAAGGGAGGGAAGAAAAAGTTGGTTCTGGACATCCCCCGTTATCCATGGTGACAGGTCTGTATCCTTAGCTGACACAAGCACCTGCTGCTGCTGCCTCAGTTGCCGTTCTGGACAGGAGTGACAATGAAAATGAGGTGGAAGGAAAAGAAGTCTGCTAAAAGACAGGGCAGCAGACCGGGGCACTATAAGGGAAATTGCTCTTAAAGGTGGAAATACAGCAAAAATAGACTAAAGAGTATTAAAAGACAAAATCAATGCCAAAGCAGAGGAAGCCAGAATGATTTCCAGAGTTCAGCTATAGGCAGTTGTCCCCCAACACAAGCCAGGCACTGTCAGTGTGTGGGAGACATCCAGGAATTTTCTCTCCTACAAAAATATTAGGGATGTTATATGTTTTAACTGTAATGGAAAAACTGGATCGCTAGTGCTCAATTCCAAAGGAAAACACTAGCCATTGGAAGTGATGTGGTACTGGGGCTGTGTGTGTGTGTTTGGCTGCTGCCTTTTCTCCTAGCGATTCTATAGCTTCCTTCATTCTTCGCTTCTCTCATATTACAGAAAGAAGGTAATTTTTCCTGGCCATTTACTAAAGCTCATTAAAGACCGAAGAGAACAAACAATGCTACTCCTTAGAGACTACCATTCAAAGTCATTCTACAATTCTCTGTTCTAATACTCGAGACAAATTAATTATTCCTTAGTGAAAAGTATATAATTCCTATTCTTCATTTTTGGGGTGGGGAGTGGAGAATAATAATAGGAAGTTTATATCTGAGTCGAAAGCTGTCTTTGCTGAAGGGAAATGAGAAAAAATGTGTGTTCCAAGAAGAGTAAAAGCAATTATTCTAATAATAATTCTAGGGATATTAATGTCTTTTTAAAGTAGATTGCTTTCAAATAAACACCAAAGTTGAAGGGATAGGAAAGGCTGGTTTATTTATTAATCATTCCAAAAGTGCATTTTTCTAAATGAACAAGTGCATGAGCAACTTCGCTGGCACATATTAAATTTAGTTAAATGGCAACTTGTAAACGTCTAAAAACTTCTGTAACCAGAGACTAATTTGTTTAACGTGTTGAAAATGTTATGTGGATGTGAGGAACTACATATTAAACTTCAAAGCAAAATGCTCCAGAGATTACACCATCTTAAAGACTGCATATTGGAAAAGCCTTTATACATTAAACATAAAGGATTTTTAATTCTCTTCTGTTTTGAATACTTGTCAATCCGTGTGACTCACGCTCAGGATTGTAAACTGTCATTTAAGGTGTGATGTCCAAGTTGAGGCCTGGACCATGATTTGCAAGGGGCTGGCTTTTCTCTTTCATCTCTATTAATTAATCCTGTCTCAGTTTGCCCAGCGTACACTTCTGTTGACATCACCTTTTCCATATACTTTAAAGAGTCCCCCGAGAGATCTACTGCAGAACAAAAACTGGACAGAGAATACATTTGGAAACCATTTTATTTCTCAATTACCAACCAAAACGTATGGAAAAGATTTACACTCTATCTGATTTACACAATAATTATACTTTGAAAGCTTAGAAATAAATGGCTTGATCCTTGGAATCATTAGTTACTATACCAAATGTAATTGGTGTAAACTAATGAGTTTACTGGATGGCTGACCCTTAATTACTGATTATACTTAAATGCTAGCCAATCAAAAATGAGTTTACTTATAAAAGTACAGTATAGTATTAACAAGCATTACATTTCCAAGTAAGCAGCTTTATGATTAGTTGTAGCACACAACTCGAGCCTGTTCAGGGCTATCAAAAGCAGCTTTTTAATAATAGTGCTCTAAGCAACCATCACTCTCTTACCTCAGCGTCTATCAGACAAACAGAAAGAAACCACATAATTAATCATCTCATGCAGTAGAAATAAAGCATCTGGGCCAGATCCAGCCAGGATATGCATAGCCTTAGTCAAAAGAGCTGCAAGAGGCTGGGGATTTGGTTTAAAATAGGATACCTGACATGGGGAATTCTGTCCCTCTGTGGGGGCAATATGTGGTATGGAAGTTAAATAGTGATTGATTGTGTGCAGTCCTGTATGATATGGAGATATGGAGAAGCCTATCAGCTTGGTGTACCCTATTGGTGTAGTAATTCCTTGAATCGAGGAGGATTCTTTGAGCACATTCTATATGTGGTAAGAAGACATCTGCTTACTCTGCTGCAATCCCAAAAAATGCAGAAATCACAACTCCTCGCCATTTATTATGTCAATTGAAGAGTGAACTTTTAAATAAAATAGCAAATGGGAAGAAAATATTTTTATTTGTTTCTGGTTGATCTGTAAGAGTTAATGTTTTTACCTAACCAGGAAAACTAAAAATTCCCACTAAAAAAAATTGAAAGCAGACTTGTATAAAGAGCGTGATTCCAGAGTTGTGACTTTAAATAGATATACCAAATATTTGGATAAAATAATAGGACTTTACAGTACTTTCATTCACATCCTTGGAGGCACTTAAGTAACTCCAGTGTTTTAAAGATGTGGAAATTCTCCATCCCCTATAACTTCCCTGTGAATCCTAGACTTCAGATAGGAGGCTGATACTGGAAGGTAGAAGACCAAGTCTAATGCACTGCAGCCACAGGGATCTAGTTGGAAGAGTATGTATTTGCTGGAGCTCTGCAGCCCATGTGCTCTTCAGATGATCTCATGGACCTCAAGAGTTGCCAGGATTCATCCTGTCTGGTTTACAGGTCTCTCTCTCCCATTTCTGCTTTTCTCTATGATGCCTTCAATGCTTGCATTTCATGAAGAGCTGGGCTCAGCAGAGGACCATCATCATCTGGTGGTTCTTTGGCTCTGGTACTGTAACACATGCCCATTTATTGGAAGAAAAATTTTCTTAAAACTCAGAAGATGAAGAGTGAATAAGTTCTTAGAGTGCCTGCACATGGGTTAAAGTGAAATTCATGCATTTACTGAACTCCTATTTGTTAGATGTCTGGGGTCAAGTGAAGGTTAAAGTTGTTTACTGCTTTCAAGCTCTGGCCTTAGAAGTTAATGCAGAGCTCTGCTGTGAGCAGCTACAGAGTAAGTCCCTGGAACCATGAATTGCTGGTTTGATATCAAGGTCTTTGGGTCTTACTAATAAAATTAGTTTGTTTCTTAAGGAAATCCTAGCAGGGACATTATGGTCATATAAAGTCATTATGCTTTTTTACAGCAGAACTTTAAAGATGTTTTGGAATGATCAGAGCTTGTGGGAAGGAATCGTTTTTTTATTATTTTTGGGATATCTTTAAACTATCACAGCTACAATACTGCCACTTGGAATAGGTGCTGTACAGATCAAAAGAACAGGCAAAAAATATGTTGAGGCCTGAGCCAGGCAATTGGGGCGTACCTGTCTGGAGAAAGCTTGTCAAATTGAATGGACTTTATGCACCTCTGGCAGTCTGCTCCCTTTCTGTAGGAACTAGATATTTGGGGTAATCAACGTGTTTTATTGCAATTCCACAAGAGCAGATAGAGAGCCTAGGACACTTTACAAGCTTTGCTTTTCACAGTTCTCTGTTGGAGTGTGCAGGGGTGAGAAGTTTTAAGAGTCATGGAAAAGGAAGAGGGCTTATTTTTCTTAACTTGAGATCCTGTGAACTCAAAGACAGAGGAAACAATAAACTAGTCAAGAACTCCCCTCTCCATGCCCTGCTCAGCAATGCTGGTGAGAACAATGCTGCCATTTCTGCTCTGCTGATGCTGAGGCAACACCCTGTACTGCAGAAGGGAGACAAGGAACCATTGGTTTGTGAAGAAGGGGAACATGCTATGGACAGGTTTGACCTCCTCAGCCTGTGGCGTGGAGGACAGAGGAGCTTCAGGGTGGACCAGGGCAACAGGCACTGCAGGGTATTTTCCCTCCTCCTCTGAGATATGCCTAACTGCTTCTGCAAAAGAAAGCATCAAAACCCATCTTGTTCATAGAAATACAACATATTTTAAAGCTGTAGTTAATGGATAAGCTGCTTTCTGATTGGGTGAGTCGCACAATAAATCTCTTCCTGAGCCAAGTGCAACGCAGCTTATTCAGTAACAGTGAAATGAGCCACTGTCACTTTGCTGCACTTGCATACATCAGGCAAAACGCTTCCGTCTTCATCAGTCTTTTAGTAAAATAGAAATAAAACAATTGTTACAGAATGGTGTCACTGGATCTCTGACACCTGCTTTAAAAATAAATCTCTTAGCTTTGTCTTCACTATTACTTTCAATAAATGTCCTAGCATTGTCACAGCATTTATCTAGCAGCAGGAAACCATTATCCTATGACAACAATCTATTCCATTAACATTAGCTCTTAATTGTAAGATTGTTTATAAGACAGCAAAAGCTACTGAATTATAGTAGAATGATAAAAAGAGTTATGGTCATGGAGTTCAGTAGTCACTCCAGTTCTGAAAAACAACTTAAGAAAAGTAGAGGGCTATATTTTTGTATGAAAAATAATGTAACAGTCTTATGCAAGAAAATGTTTTTAAATAATGGATTACATCAGCAAAAGAACTATTAAAGAGTTAAAAATTGTTACTGAGAAACCCTTGCTTTGATAAATGGTATGACAAAAAAAGCTGAATAGAAAGCTTAGAAACTTGTACAACTCTTCCTGAAAGCAAGGCTGCACTGAGTCAAACAGAGAAATCATAATAACAGAAGCGCGTTTGTCTGGCGGAGCGAACAGAAGGAATGTTGCAAAATTGAGATATGAAGAACCTAACTGCAGAATAGAAGAACTGTCATTCTGATTGTTTGTCATTATTGTTTCATGTCCAGTTAAGTGAACTTAGAGTGACAGTTGTGTCATAACTACTGGCATCTATGTAAATTTCAAATCAAATGTGATAGAGGCATTTCTGCCAGACACAAGTCACCAGGCTGCTCTTCCTCTTTATTTTTGTAACCCTCCATTTTCTCATACTGTGCTGCTAGCCCTTAAATTAAAAAGACAACTTCAAGAGGAGATCCCTTTAATGTGTGCCTTTCAGTTCTCACTCCATATCTTACTTTCTCTCAGCTCTTTGAAACAATGGCTAATGTCAAAATTTCTATCAGAAACAATCATCACAAACATCCAGACATATTAGCTGAAATTACTCCTTCCCATCGATCATACATCATTCACCAAAATCCTTTGAAACTCTAGGTTGTAGACTTCCCCTGAAGACATACAGAGAAAATGGTTCAAGTAAATGCTCCTCCATTATTTCAGTGAAGCCCAAGCATCTGCTCTGTGGGTAGGTGCAAAATACATGGAAAATAAATCAGTCGTGGATCCCTTCTCTAAATTACAGCCTCATTCAGAGGTTATGGGAACTTCGCAAGGATATCAGACATACTCCTCTCATAGTAAGTAACTCATTTCCTGGTGGCAGATACTCTAATGACATAGGATTTGCTACTGGACACGTCTTTAAAAAGTATTTCAATGCAATTATTAAGGTATTATGTGCGGATAACACCATCAAAAACATTAAACATGCTGTTTATTCACTTGGGCATAAAACTACTTTCTTCTGCAAATTTAAACTTACTTTAATTAAATAATTAATAAAGGCTAGAATTAAGTTTCCATTTTTCATTGTAATGAATTATTCCAGAGCATTGTTTTTACTAAATTCTGCATAGGACTGCTTTCAGAAACCATACCCAAGCACAGCGACATTGTTAAAAAAAATGTTCCTTTGACAAATGAAATTTTAAAAATGGTTACAAGAAAATAAATAGTCAGCTATGAGTAGAAAACATTTAATATGTTTTGATGATTTCTTATCTCAGACAGGAAAGAAGACAAGCTGACTTTCTCTGCAGAATTTTTTGAAGTGAATTCTGATTGAAAAGATGTGGTGGTGATTTAACAAAAACATATTATTATAAGACATGACGTATGTTCAGAAGCATAAATGATGGCATTATAAAAGTGTACCTCTGCATTAGGTAAGAGCATTTTGGTCAATTGAGTTAGGTGGGGTTTTTGTTTGGTTGTTTTGTTTTGTTTTTTAATTCCTATCCAATTCTTCTTTTTTGTTCCCTAAGTTTAAAGCAGTTCAGTTGCTACTTCTATCTGCTGTTTTCAAACAGCACCAAACTGTGCTGTCCCATCCTCTAATCTGAACATTTATTATGGTGACTAGCGAATAGTGGCAACACGTTAATACAAGCTCTGTAAAAGCATCTGTGAAGAAAATATTCTTTTACTCTGGAGGGTAAGTTCCATATGATTTTATATTTTTAAGTATTTGCAAAATTAAGAAATTTTTTCTTGTTAAAGATGGCAGTATCTGAACCTAAAAATATTCATGTTTATATTGGTGACAAAATAATACTTTACAGATATGCAATCACAAAATTCAATTGCCAGTATACCCTTAAGAATATCAGAATAATGTAACTGGTTTGCTTAAAGAGTGCCTTGTTTTATTAGACTGTGGAGTTTAAAGCCCTCTTTCAAAATTCACACAGCATTTCCAACTGTAAGATTGTTTTATATGGTGAACTTATTAAATGCATGGTCTAGTGGCATCTGAAGACTTCTAACTTAAAACATAAAGTACATGTAAGTTCAAACACTGATGTCTCTGACTTAAACTCAGTTTCAGGCCTTCCTGCTACTGATGGCTCATGGCAATATATCAATTCGTCCAATGGGGATGTACACAGGACAGATTAGTGAACGTAATTTTTGCTGTATGAGGTCATTACAAATATAGCCTTAGCTCTTCCTAAAGTGGACTTCATTGTTAATATAAATATATATCTATAGTTACTGACATTTATATTATTTGGCTCCTGTCCTAAGTTACGGATACAGCGATGATAAAAGGGTCTTGCAAGCCCTTACCTAAGTGAATCATGCTTACTAATTATCTTCCATGGTACTGGGTTCCTGTAAATAAAGTTACTCACTTTACTAAATAAAGTATTTATAAGCAAGTCAAAAATGATAATATATTTCTAAGAGTGAGTTATCTTTCTCTTTGGTGCAAACAGTCCAGTCTACTGTTTGGAAGAGAATGCTGAGAGTAAAGCCGTCCAGGACTCCTTCCAGCTTCTGCTAGGGTGCATACTCTCCCACATCGTTGGGTATCTGACTTAATCCAGTCACATTTTTAAATGTTTAAGACCCTAAAATGGAAGATCTTCTGCTAATATAAGGATGTATTATTTTCAAGTAAAAAATGGCTGTTGATTTTTCCTCACTGTTTCCAAAGAGGCTGGGGTAAGAGGCTTTAAGTCTAATTGTTTGTTCAAAAGGTGTAGCTTGTGAGACACAAAGGCTAGCAAAGTGCGACGTGGAAGATCTCAAGACAAAGCAGCAGCCTCAATGTTTCTCTCTAATGAGAACAGGAAAAGACAGTTGAGGTCCCATAGGAATGCCGTAGTTAGGGGGAGAAGCAAGTCTCCTTTCATGAATGGAGAGATAACCCTGGTAAATTCTGGACTACCTGCTATCTCCCGGGCGTGTCTAGGTTTAAGAATGATTTGGATCACAGGCTGTAACATTTTCCAGACATTCAGATTGCAACTACTATGCCAGCAATTTTATGCTTTCCTTTCCCTGACTCCAACAGTACCACAATATAAGCAGCCAGATTTTCTTCTGCATTGTGTTTTTTATCCATTCAGCCAAAATTAACAGTCTTTGAGGATAATGTATGCCAAGTGAATTTAAATCTTGCGGACTCAAATCGACCTAAAGTTGATGGATACATTCATGCCTACTGCTGAAATCTACCAATTACACAGAACTATGTTAACTTACCATAGAAACATCTCATCTAATAGCACAGATGATGTTGAACTAACTAATTACATTATGGCACATAGACAATGAAAAACATAACGAAGATGACAGCACAGCAACAGCAGATGCTGCACAAAAGAAAAATTAGAAAAATATTGCTCTGCAAAATGCTCTCTGTTAAGGTTTCCTCTGTTAAAATTAATCACAAAAATTAGTGAAGATTAGATTTCAGCAAAAGATATGTGCCTTGTAATGGCATTTGGAAAACGTCATTAAACCATTTAAAACTCTACTCCTTGAGAAGGTAATTCCCATTTTTCGTATCACTATCGGTTCTAAGACGAGTAAACATTTTACTGCCTATGGCAGAGTTTCTTGGGAGAATATCTTTCCCAGTAAGGAGAGGTCCTGATGGTTCTTCCAGAGCCTGAATGTGGTAGCTTCCAGCCATTACAGGCTCAGATAATTAGACAACTTAGATTTTATTTTAGCTTGGCATTTGCTCTGTTCTCGTGCTCTTGGCTGTCAGTGACTGTTGATTATCTGTAGCACGCCTTGTTACTTTATATATTTTAAACTGTAACAGATCCTAAATAACAAATCTAAAACTGCTGAGTATGTTTAAATGTAATGTATACATGGAGATTACATCCAGATGATATACTTCATAGACCTATGATAAAAAAACACATTGCTTTTAACCACAACACTGGTCCTCTCCCCCTTCCTCCCCGGAAGCTTTCCCTGAGCTCCCAGTCTGCTTTAGGCACTGATCTTGAACATATTCCAGCTGATAGACAGATAGCTTTTCCCCTACTTCTGAATCGTGCCTCTCATGCTACTCAAATTTTAATACTTTATTGGCTCTCTCTCTATATACATAAAAATCTAAGATATCCTATCTTCCCAAGTCCATTTTCCTAGCTAGACTTTTTTTTTTTTTTCCCCCTTTAGTTTTAGCTGGTTCCTGGGCACCCTTCTGCTTGGTCCAGCTCCGGCCGGGGATGCAGAAACGAAGAAGGCCCACAGGTGGCGATGTGGTTAAAGTACACCTGGGCTGTGATTGCCGAGACTGGATTTACCAGTCGGCCTGTCAGAGGGAAGTCGGTCTGCTTTTTAGCACCAGCGCTTTCATTTGCAAGCAGATACTCCCGGCTGAAGTTTCATATACCTGTGTCAGGATGTTGCTTCTACGCTAGACTTGAACAGGAACAGGTTCAAAATATTATGTTGCCTTGGATGACTAAGAGACAGTGGCAGCGCACAAACGCATCACTCAGTCACACTGCAGCCGCTGGGTACGTACTTGATATCAGCAGTGGCAGTGTCCCCGCAGTGTGCAGCGACCCACCCGCACGCAGGGCTGCCCTCTCCCGTGGCACGCAGCAATTTTGGCCTGTGTGTACCTGCCACCGCTGCCTGCCTGCTGCTGCAGTTGCGGCGGTGTCGGACCAGGCAGCCTGACTGTCCTCACGGTGTGGCTGCTGCTTACGCCAGTGACCTAGAATCGAGAAACTAGCCTTGTGAAGTTTGCATCTTGTTTAACAGATCCTGGAAATGGGTGATTTGTCTGCCCCTTTGGCTGGAACCGTGGAGCCCATTTGGGTGTACTTGTTAGGCAGCGCCAGATGAGAGCCTGGTCCCACAGCCAGGCCAGCACCCGTGCTTGGGGGAGAGCCGTTCGCCAGGACAACACCCGTGAGTTACAGTGTCTGTGAAGGTACTGGGAGCGTTCTGAGGGCTGTTTTTAGCTGTAGGGAGGTGTGTTATTGCCTGTCTTGCACACTACACCTAGGCCTCAGAGGCGTTATTTTTCCACTTTCAAGCGTCCCTACTGAAGGGCTCTTCTGCTCGTCCTGGGGCGCTCTCAGCAGCCCAGCCGTGCCCACCACAGGCGCGCAGTGCTGCTGCCTGCCGGCCGCCCGCCCCGGCCCGAGCGACCCCTTCCGGGCCCCCGGGGGGCACGGGCAGCAGCGGGCCGGGCCGGGCCGGGCCGCGCCGCTCGCTCCCGAGCTGGTGGCCGCGGGGGGACGGCTGCGAGCCCCCGGCCCGGGGCGGCGGGGCCCGGCGGCGGCCTGCTCCCCGCCACCGGGACCCCAGCGGGGCAGAGGGGGCGGCGGGAGGCCGGTGCCGAGCTGGGAAGGGCGCGGAAGGACGGGGCCGGGCCGCCCCCGGCCAAGTTTCTCAACTGGTGGCCGGGCGCGGGGCGGGCGGCGCTCTAACGGCCGCTCCCCACCTGCCCGCCGCCTTCCTCCGCATTCCCCTCCTCCGCCTCCTCCTCCTCCTCCTCTCCCCTCTCTCTCTCTTTTTTTTTTTTTTTTTCTCCTCTTTCACTCATTCCTTTGTCTTCCCCGGGATTGGCAGGTTTTATTATTCCGCCTGAACAAGCCGGGGGCGGATTGGCTGCGGCGGGGCGGGCGGCGGGGCCGGCCCGGAGTGTAGTTGGGATTGCGCCCTGTCAGTAACACATGTGCGAGGGGCAGCGGCCGCACACGCACGCGGGCTCACGCGCGCTCACACCCGCTCGCACACCCGCGCGCGGCGAGGACACGCGCGCCCACGCGAGGCCGCCCCCCCCGGCCCGCCCTGCCCGGCTCGGCTCGGCTCGGCTCGGCTCTCCGCTCCTCTCTCTCCTCTCCTCAGCTCCGCTCCGCTTCTCTCCGCGGCCGCCCGGCCCGGCCCGGCCCGGCTCGGCTCCGCGGGGAGCTCGGCAGCCGGCGGAGGGGGCGGAGGGGAGGCACAAAGTGCAGCCACATTGCCAAACTTACCCGGCGATTGCGGCAGCCGGCGGCGGCGGCGCCCTGCGTGTGCGGCTCCGGCGGCGGGGGGCTGAGCTCTGCGGCTCTGCCCTCCGGGGAAGCGGGAGCCGCGGGGAGGACCGCGGGCGGCCGCCCCTCGTAGCGGCAGCGGGGCTCGTCCAGCCCGGGCTGCCGCTCCCCGGGCTGGGGGCTCCCCCCGGAGCAGAGCCGCAGCGCGGGCGGGCGAGCGCGGCGCCGGTCTCCTCGCACGGCGGCAGCCTCCGCGGTGACCCCGAGCGACGCCGCTCCCGGCCTCTGGCAATATAGAGGGGAAGCAGGTAAGGAGCGCGGCCGCTGCCCTCCGCCGCGGGGCCGCCTCGGGCCGGGGGGCGGCGGCGGCGGCGGGCCCCGGGCATTGTCGCCGGCCCCGCGTACAAAGCCCGGCCGCCGCCCGGCCCCGCCGCCGCCGCAGGGAAGGGAAGGGACGGGGAGCAGGGGAAGGGCAGGGGAAGGGGGCTCCGGCGGCCGCCGAGCCCGGGCGGAGGGGCCGGGAGGGCGGGGGCGGCTCGGGGAAGCCGCGTCCCCCGGAGTAAACAGCGCTCCGAAACAGTGGCAGGAGAGATCAAAGTGAGCTCTCTGGCTTCGCTCCTCGCCGATCCCCTTCCTGCCCCCCGCACGGTCTTTTGTTTCGATGCGGGAGAAATCCGGTGAATCACCTAATTAAAACCAAGACATGAATTAAGCATCCATTTTTGTACTACAAATTGCCAGCTCTCTGCTCGTCCCTCCCTTGGTCTCCATTAAAAAAACACCAGAGACGCTGTTAAAAGGGGGGTGGGGGGGGTATTTCGCCTCTAGCTTCCAGCTCTGCTTTCTATTTCACTGACTCCTATCCCAGGACCTAAATTGCTTGGCTGTGTAATTACTAGAGTAAGCCTATTTAAGTTAAAAGCTTTTTTTTTTTTTTTTTTTTTTTTTCCCTCCCCCCCAACTCTAAATGAAACTTGATGAGGGCCCGTCCTTAGTTATCAAGGGAGTCACTTTCTGGTCAGTCCTCTTGATTCATCTTTTTAGATTTAATCAGCATTAAGGTATTGCTTGTCCTTAAGAGCTTTAGCTTAATGGGGTTACTGGATGCTTTTCTCAGTGTAACGTTTCCCATTTTATATATATTTGCCTTCGACAAAGACGGGCTAAGGTGGTAGCATGGAGTCTTTTTCTTTCTTTTAAGAAATCCGAAGTGATTTAAAGCGCAGGGAAACGGTTTAAAGGCTCAGAGCAGGAAATGCAGATTCATTTAGGCTGTAGCTGGAAACTGTAACAAAAGGCAATTCCTTGAACAAATGCATCAGAAATCAATTTACATAAAGGTATATGATGCGTTTGGATAAATGCAATGCTAATGGCTTTTAGAGTGGTTTTCTTTCCAAAGTCTCAGGGTTTTTGTTACAGCTTAATTGGTGCAGTTCTTCTGGTTTATTGTGCGGTCACTGGACATACCTCCAGGAACTCTTTCTGAGGAAATGTGTGTTTAAAATCGGCCTAAGTTCGCCGTCTCCTGAAGCCAAGTTGGGCCGGTGGCAGGAAAAGTTCGTCCTCGCTTCCCTGGAGGTATCGGGCTGAGCGTCCTGAGCAGATAGCCAGATGCCTCGGCATGAGCACACACGGCTTACAGAGGACAAAGACAAAACATGCTGCTTAATTGGCAGTAAATAACTTGATCTTTTTATAGTATAAGTGACTGGAGGAACACCGGGAGTTTATTGGACTCTGGATTGAAGGCAACAAATTAATCGGTTTAGAGTAAGCTTTATGAATTGATTCCTATATTATCTCTCAGTTGTCCTGCTTGCGTAAAGCGTTTATTAGAAAGTGAAAAATGCCCTTTGGTAGCAGTTTGGGTCAGCCCCAGCCTGAGCACTGCGCTTCGTTATCCTGCTGCTTTCCTGTGGCCGGCAAACTTTTTTTTCCTTTTTTTTTTTTTTTTTAATTTCTTTTTTGACTAACAAAGCTCTAGCATTTAAACTGCTGATCAAGGGCAGATTAGCGAGACAGAAGTTGAGCGTGTTTGTGCGGGAAGTTAGCGGGCGTCCCGAAGCTCCCCGGCCTCGGCCCGCAGCCCGTGTGTGCGCCTCAGCACCGGCACCGCCGCGCCTCGGGGCCGGCCGCCCCGGGGAGCCCCTTGCACGGCTCCCTTACCCCCCCCCGAGCCCCCTCCCGAGCCGCGGGGCCGTGCCGGTGCCGGCTGGGGGCTGCCGGCCCTGACCCGGCCCCGCGGCGCCCCTGTCCCGCAGGCCATGGTGAACCCCGGCGGCAGCTCGCAGCCGCCCCCGGTGACGGCGGGCTCCCTCTCGTGGAAGAGGTGCGCCGGCTGCGGGGGGAAGATCGCCGACCGCTTCCTGCTCTACGCCATGGACAGCTACTGGCACAGCCGCTGCCTCAAGTGCTCCTGCTGCCAGGCCCAGCTGGGGGACATCGGCACGTCCTGCTACACCAAGAGCGGCATGATCCTCTGCAGGAACGACTACATCAGGTGGGCAGGGGGCGGCGGCGGGGGGGGGGGGGGCGGCACGGCGGCTGCGACTTTAAAGTGGTTTGTCAGCGCAAAACAGGTCCCGACTAAAAATAAACAGCAATCAGGGAGGCTAAATTAATCTGCTTTGTTGTAGTGTTGGAGGAGAAGCGTGCATATCTGAACGGTAAATGTTAAAATCGCAGGGCTTAAATAAGGCTGTGGCAGAGGCGCTAAATAATGAAACGGCTGCCTTTAGTATCTGATTAATTATGATATTTACATAAGCACCTTTAAACTCCTTTGAGTGGAAACAGAATGACTCATTCTCTGCTCTCCTTGTGAAAGAGCTGATTACCCGGCAGTCGGAGGGCCAGCGATCCTGCTCGCAGCCCCAATGGGAGCATTTGGCCCCGTGTTACGGGGGCCCGAAGCGGCGTTTCTCTGGGCTTCAGCACGGAAAATGCAGGCAGCGGTGGCGGAGGGGACACGCTCCTGCTGTGTATCCCTTATCTCTTCCTCTTCCAAAGCCATACGGTGTAAGTGCCGCAGATTTGGGTAGGGGGAACTAAGCCTGCCTAATCTGGCATCTGGTGGGGCGCAGTGCAACTATGCACAGTACCCCTTCCAGCGCGCTTCCCATATAATTAATAGAAGGAATTCATGAGGTCAGGTGCCCGTGCGATCTTTTCAGGTGAACTCAAGCTACTTAAACTCATTAATTTAAAAGGAGGCATTTTGAAGGATTACACATTTAATTTGAGTAAATGGTTTGATAGACTGATGCACATGAATGCTTCAAGGAGGTGTTCTATTTCAACATCCAGTAATTAAAAAAAAAAAAAAAAGCCCCATACCTTTCCAGCATAGCAGAAATGCAGAGTTAAAACAAATTGTTTTGTTTGAATGCTTCTGGCTCCTCACTTACGGTAAATGTCAAGAGTTAACCCAGGTTTTTCTTTTCCCTAACGGCTGAAAAGTTCCACTTTTTTCTTCCTTTCTGCAAATCTGGCCGGAAAACCTTACAAGCTTGTTTATGTCGTAAAACTTGACTTCTGTTTGAGAAGATCAGCACTGTACTGAATATGTGCAAATGCATGGAGGCATCCTTAGCCTAAAAGGTCGGTGCTGAGGCTTGGTTGCTCTTATAATGCAGCCTCTGTCCCGATACATGGCCTCGTCTTCAGTCAGTTAAGTAGACAAAATGCAGCTCTCAACATCTTTGAGGAATCAAAGCCTTAGCTTTTGGGGGTGTTGTTAGAGAGAAATGCCAGAAAATAAGCACATGTAGCTTTTTAATAGTGCTTTTTGGTCATCGTCCTAAGCAACAAGCCTAAGCCTGGCAGAATTGTAATTAAATAGAGCAGAACGGTGTTAGGGAAAGAGTCTTGTTTGAAGTGGAAACATTGACACTACTGTTGAGATGCAGTGAATAGTACAGATTCA